CCCCAAAACCCCAAAACCCCAAAACCCCAAAACCCCAAAACCCCTGCATTAAACTATTTTAAAGAAATCGATGTTTTTTTAAAGTTAAAGATAAAATAATTAATGTCAGTCTATAGTGGATTTTCAACAAGGCAATAAGAGGAAACATACTACTAAACTCTTTACAATATGGTGTATCTGCTGTAATTAAGAGTCCTAAAATTTTTCCAGAAAGGTATGAGCTCGATATTCTTAATAGTTTGTCATTTATAAGAGATTAATACCAAATTTTATAGAAAACTTTGATGATAAGAGATTTTGTAAGTTCTATATAAAACTCTTCAAAAAACTATACGATTATGACAAGATAAAGTATCTACCACCTAGATTTGACTCAGCCTTTAGAGACTTAGCAGCTTTTATCATTTTAAGAAAAGACGAGCTGCTTGAAAAAGGAACTATGGACTCATCATCTTCATAATTCTCAATGGTAATCTTTAAGATTAAAAAAAATATATCAAAGGGGCCATTCTTAAGTACAATTAACAAAAGTCACAGTTTAAGAAGAGAGAGTGAGTAGACTAGGAGTAGAACTTAGTTAGATATAATGAATCAATCTCCTTTTGATAGTTTGTAAGATAGTATTTACTAATTTCTAGAATTGATTACAAAAACGATTCAAATGAGGATCTTAATTAACATCTTAAGTAATAAACATAAAATTTGCCATCAATTAGATATGACAGAGTAAATCATAGACACAATTAACTAGAGCAAAAATAAATAAGCAACTATCAATATCTAAATATCTAGTAGAAATAAAAGAGTGACGGCAATGGTAACCAAGGAAATATCAGTGCTATGAGATAGCTTGAATCTTCGATTGAGTTTTAAGGGGATAGAGCAATTGCTTAGGCTTAAATGTATAAAACTCAAGATATTTCATAACTGATCAAGGATCAATCAGATGTTATTATGGCTGAAGGGAATTCCAAAACTCCTAAGAATAAAATAGAAAGATAGGTTAATACTCAAAATGTAGGCTCTAGGAAATAATTAAATGATAAAAAGAAATAGAAATAGCTAAATATTTCCTTAGACGATAAATCAATAGTCAAGAAGAAGCTGTCAAAATCATTTATTAATAACAAAATAGTGCTTCCCTCAGCAGTACCTATGCAATCAAATTAAGATCACATTCCTAAAATAAGGATTTAAACGATTTCAGATTAAATTAATTCCTAAAGAAATACGAACAGTAAAAATTTAAATGAAAGAGCACATATTATATAAGACAACAGACAGTAGCTCTTAGATGAACATTTTTAAAATAAGAAAAATATGATTTTAAAGTCAAGGAATCAAAATGAAACTTATGATAAAAATACTAGGATAGATAATAGTTCAGATACTGTGATTCCACCTTTATCTAGCAGTCCATAATTTGATAAATATACCTAAAAATATTCAAGAGAGAAAAAACGGATCAAATAGTTTGTTGACAGAGATCCAAATTAATTGATTCAGGTAGCAATGATGAACCATTCAGGATTCAAGAATAATAATCAAGGTTATAAAGACTATCTTATGCAACAAAGCCAATTAATTGATAATAGCCATGGTAGTAGCTAGCGTAGTAGTAGTTATAGAGGTAAATGGACTATAAATAATAGCAATAGTTATAACTAAAAAGTACATTAAAGTAATAACTAAGGAGAAAATTCTGGAAAAGTAGGGTAAAGTCCTAAGACCTAATTGATAAAATAAAACTAAGTATCTTTACATGAATAAGAAATTAATAGAAGATAGAACGTGATTGAAGAAGAGGAAGAGAGTCATTTCGAATCAGACAATCAAAGTAACATGGACTCTACGAGTATACTGAATATGGAGGACTAAAAATTGAGCAAAAAGTTTTGATACCTTTACTATGATTTCTAATCAAACGTTTTTTCCATACTCAAATTATAATTACAACAGTCATTAAATAATTATTGATTTAATTTTTATTTCATAAGTGTTTCAGCAATAGTATTTAAGATTTTTTCATTTGGGGTTTTGGGGTTTTGGGGTTTTGGGG